AGGGGGCACAGATGGCTGCTGACCCCCCCCACCCCTCCCTGTCCCCTCCCAGGCCTGCCCAGCGGACAGAGGATGAGCTGGAGCTCATATTTGAGGAGCTTCTCCACATCAAAGCCGTGGCTCATCTCTCCAACTCGGTGAGCGCCGCTGAGCCTGGCTTCCACCGCGGTGTCTGTGTGTGTCCCCACTCTTGGTCCCCAAATCCTCCTGCATCCCATCGGCTGCTGACACCCCCCACCCCTCCCTGTCCCCTCCCAGGCCTGCCCAGAGGACAGAGGATGAGCTGGAGCTCATATTTGAGGAGCTTCTCCACATCAAAGCCGTGGCTCATCTCTCCAACTCGGTGAGTGCCACTGGGCCCAGCTTCCACCGCGGTGCCTGTGTGTGTCCCCAAACCACTCCTGGTCCCCAAATCCTCCTGCACCCCATCACCTCCCACCTGGGCATCCTCTCCTGGTCCTCTCTGAGCATCTCTGGGCTCCCTTCCCATCCTGTCCCTTGTCCCCATGCGTGTCCCCTCCTCGCTCGGCTCCAGGCTGGGGTGACCCTGATGGCAGATTCCTTTCCCACTCTGTCCCCATCCATGTCCCCTCCTTGCTTGTCTCTGGGCTGGGGTGACCCTGATGGCAGGTTCCTCTTGCCGCAGGTGAAGCGGGAGCTGGCATCCGTGCTGATGTTCGAGTCCCACCAGAGAGCAGGCACCGTGTGTGAGTATCGTGTGCCCCAGGAGCTGTGCAGTGGGACCCCAGGACCCTCAGGAAAGGGTCCCCAGCCCGGGGAGGAAGGATGGAGCCGTTGCCATCAGTGTGGATGCTCCTGCTGTCTCCTGGTGGACCAGGGATAGAGGGGACTGGAGAACTTGCATGTTCTGGGCTGGGGGCTGAGGTTGAGGGGGCTGAGGAGGGATGCTTGCGGGCTCCCCCTCTTTGACTGCCCCCGTTTCCCCTGCAGTGTTCAGCCAAGGAGACAAAGGCACGTCTTGGTACATCATCTGGAAGGGCTCGGTGAATGTGGTGACCCATGGCAAGGTAGGGGTCTCCCTGTGCAGCCAGGCTCTCCAGACACCTCATGTCACTGTCCCTCAGTGGGGATGAGAGCTCCCACCCCATCCCTCACCCTCTGTGGGCATCCCCTTCCAGGGCTTGGTGGCCACACTGCACGAGGGGGACGATTTTGGGCAGCTGGCGCTGGTGAACGACGCACCCCGGGCGGCCACCATCATCCTGCGAGAGGACAACTGCCACTTCCTCCGAGTGGACAAGCAGGACTTCAACCACATCCTCAAGGTGGGCAGGGGGCTCAGGGGGCACCGAGTCGCAGTCGGGACACACCGTCACCCTCTGTGGTGTCTGCAGGGGAGGACACTTCTCTGTGTGCCCATAGAGGGTTTTGGGGTGCCACCAGCCAGCCAGGGGTTGCTTGATGGATCCATACTGGGCTGATGGCTGGTTCTTCTCTTTAGGATGTGGAGGCCAACACCATGCGCCTGAAGGAGCACGGGAAGGTGGTGCTGGTCCTGCAGAAGAACCTGCAGGGTGGCAGCAACCAGCCAGCCACGGCGCGGAGCAGCAGGTGACGTGATAATTCAACCAGGGCAAGTGCAGGGTCCTGTACCTGGGGGGGGGAATCACCCCTTGCACCAGGACAGGCTGGGGGTGACCTGCTGGAGAGGAGCTCTGTGGAAAAAGACCCAGGAGTCCTGGTGGTGGTGTTCACCTCCTCTTGTGGAGGACCATGAGCCAGTAATGTGCCCTTGTGGCCAAGAAGGCCAATGGTCTCCTGGGAGGCTTCAAGAAGAGCATGGCCAGTGGATGGAGGGAAGTCATCCCCCTCCTCTGCTCTGCACTGGGGAGGCCACAGCTGGAGACTGGGACCAGTTCTGAGCTCCCCAGTTCAAGAAGGACTGGGAACTGCTGGAGAGAGTCCAGCGGAGGCTGCGAGGATGATGAGGGGCTGGAGCATCTCTCTGCTGGGGAAAGGCTGAGGGACCTGGGGCTGTTCAGCTGGAGAAGAGAAGGCTGAGAGGGATCTGATCAATGCTTATAAATACTTAAAGGGTGGGTGTCAGGAGGATGGGGCCAGACTCTTCCCAGTGGTGCCCAGTGACAGGACAAGAGGCAACGGGCACAAACTGGGACACGGGAAGTTCCATCTGAACACGAGGAGGAACTTCTCTGCTGTGAGGGAGTCAAAGCCCTGGAAGAAGCTGCCCAGAGAGGGTGGAGGTCTCCTGCTTCCAAACCCACCTGGACCTGTGGGACCTGCTCTGGGTGACCCTGCTGTGGCCGGGGGTTGGGGGAGATGTTCTCCAGAGGTCCCTTCCCACCCCATATCATTCTGTGACAGCAGCCTATCCTTGTTGCCTCCTTGCAGCCACGCTGCCTGTCCCCCTGCCCCCTCTGCCTTCACTGGCTTCCCTTGGAGGAGTCTCCGTGGCCCCAGAGGGGGATCAGGGATGCCAGCTCAGCTGTGTCGATGGCCCGGTGGCCCGGGGTGGTGGCCTTGTGCACAGCTGAGGTGCTCTATCCATCCCTGATGAGCCCGGTGTTCTGCCCACCAGGTACTTCGTGATGGCTGGGACACCGGAGAAGATCCTCGAGCATCTGCTGGAGTTCATGAGGCTCGATGCCACGCTCTACGACCCTGTGGGTAAGTGAAGTGTGACCCCTCAACTCCGGTCACCACGTCCCCGAGCCACCCTGAGATGGGCAGGAGGACCAGCACCGAGCGGGACTGCCTTATTCCCCGTGTTCCACCCCAAAAACTGCTCCTCTTACCCTAAAATCCCCCATTGGGGCTGGGAAAGGGAGGCAGCCCCAGGGCAGGGAGCGTCTCCTCTCTCCTCTCCCACATCCCTCCGTCTCCCTCTGCCTTTGGAATGGAGCAAAACCGGGTGAGATGGGAACCAGGAGGTGTCCCCAGCGGGTCAAAAATCCCAGCTGGCGTCATCGTCCTCGGGGCTCGCTCACGGCCAACGCTGGCGCTTTTCCTCCAGCCTTTGGATTTTCTTTCAGCCTCCAAAACCTTCACCTTTGCCAGCCCTTTCCATCATTTTTAGAAGCAAAAACTGACCCGCAAGGAGCACGGTCACCGTGGTGGTGGAGACCACAGGCCAACCCCACGTAGGGCAGGGGTGACCCGTTCCTGGCCAGCTGCACCCGCCCGGCTGTGACCAGCGTGTCCCCAGCCCACTGGCCGTGGTGATGGGTGAATGATGGTGGCCTGGTCTCTTGCAGACACGCTGCTGGGGGATTTCCTGCTGACCTACACCGTCTTCATGCCGACCTCGCAGCTCTGCAGAGCTCTGCTGCACCAGTATCCTTCTGCGGATGGAACTGGGATTGGGGGGGGGGTGGGCTCCATCCTACACCACACACCCCCTGCCAGGGGCCAGCGGCACCCAGCGTGGTCCCTGTCACCCTGGTGGGACCTCAGGGGTTGGCCAGGGGAGACCTGAATCCCCCGAGCTCTTGGGCCAGGGGTTGGCCAGGGGAGACCTGAATCCCCTGAACTCTTGGGGCGGATGGAACTGGGATTGGGGGGGGGGTGGGCTCCATCCTACACCACACACCCCCTGCCAGGGGCCAGCGGCACCCAGCGTGGTCCCTGTCACCCTGGTGGGACCTCAGGGGTTGGCCAGGGGAGACCTGAATCCCCCGAGCTCTTGGGCACATCCCTGGAGGTATTCAAAAGATGGGTTGATGTAGTGCTGGGAGGTCTGGTTTAGTGATGATGCTCCTTGTTTGTTGTGTGGGTGTCTGTTTTTGTCAGTTAGGTTGATGATTGGACAAGATGATCTTTAAGGTCCCTTCCAACCTAGAAGATTCTGTGATTCTGTGATCTCCCATCCTATGGGGTGCACACCTATGGTGGGGGGTGTCCCCATCACCCCGTGCTGGTGCCCTTGACTGGTTCCCAGTTTCCGTGCGGAGCCACTGGAGGGCTCGGAGCAGGAGAAGGCCACCTACTCCCTGCACAAGAGGAGGAAGATCCTGCGGCTGGTGAGCCAGTGGGTGCTGCTCTACGGGCGGCTGCTGCAGGGCGACCGCAGCACCACGGCTCTGCTGCAGGTACCGGCAGCGGGACAGGGCTGGGGGGGGTCCCCAGAGGGGTCCGGCTGTCACCACCCCCCACTGACCACTGGCCACCTTCCTCCCTGCAGAACCTGGCTGATCTGGCCAGCCAGGACCCCCGCCTGGGCGGGCTGGTCCAGGAGCAAGCACAGGAGCGCCGGCGGCCCCGAGCGTGAGTCCTCCCAGGGGTTGAAAGGGTGTCCCCATCCAAAACAGAGCCCGTCCCTGTCCCTAGAACCACCGCTGGTGCCCGTGTCCCCAGGTCCTGCACCCCTCATGCCCGGGGGATGTTGTGCATCTATGGCATGAGGTTGACTAGTCCACGTTGGTGGGTGTCAGATTTGGACTAGCTGCCTGAAATCCTGGGTTTGAGCAGTAACTGCTTTATCGAGCAGTTCAGCACCGAGGGGAAGGAGGGAAAAAAACAGAAAACAAACCCCAAGAAGTGGCACGTTGGATCAAATGCAGGTTCCCAAGAGTTCCTGGGAAGGAAGGGGCGAGGGATGTCTGGGTTAGAGAGAGCTGTAAAATTATATTCCAGGCTTTTGGCAGCTGCACACACAAACAAAGCCCTTGGTCGCTGTGGGATGCAGAATGAAATGGGGCTGAGCTTTTGGCCAGCAAAGCAATGATTGCCACGACTGAGGGGATGCCAGCAGCTCTTTGGGCCACCTCGTCCCAAGGTGGGGGTTTCTCAGCCACAGGGAAGGTGTCAAACACTGCTGGGACCCCCCGGTGCCCAGGGATGCTTGGGGGCTTGGTGGTGGCCTGAATCCTGGGGGCTGCAGGACCCGGTTCTGTCTCCAGCGTGGGCTGTGGGGCTCTGACACCCCCGTTATCCTCTCCCTGCAGGCTGGAGAACGGAGATGGCAGCGTTTCTCCCCAGCCCAAGGTAGGGGTGGCCCCGGGGGGGTGTCAGGATGAGAAGGGGTGGAGAGTTGGGTCACCCCTACCCTCTGGGGACCCCCGGCAGGAGGGGTGGCCGGTGGGGTGGCATCCTCCCCACTTTCTCCCACCTTTCCCCCAGGCTCGGAGCTCGGGGAACTGGCTCTCGAGCCAGGAGGAGGCCATTCTGAGCAGCAGCTGTGCCTTAAGAGCCCAGGACAAAGGTAGGGTCACAGACAGTGGGGACTGTCCCTTTCCCAGCACTTGGGACACTAAAACCCTTTGGTCCTCCCTTCCACAGTGTCCTACGAGATCTACAGACCCGACCACTCGTGCCTGATGACGGTGCTGCCGGTCAACGCCTCGGTGCGGGACATCCTGCGGGCCCTGGCCCCCCGGCTGGGCCGGGACCGGGAGCACATCCTAGTGAAGGTGAATTCGGCTGGAGGTGAGCGGGTTCCCCCCCCACCCCCGGGGGATGTCACCCTCCCAGGGTGGCAACTGCCCCCTGCCCAGCCAGGATCGGGCCCCTTCTCCATCCCGGCACCGACCATCCCCTCTCCCGCAGATAAAGTGGGGCTGCAGCCGGACGCCGTGGGGGTGTTCACGGCACTGGGGCTCAACGAGAGGCTCTTTGCCGTGAGCGTGGAGGAGTTGGGCAGCCTGGTGAGCATGGGGCAGGGGTCCTGGGGATGGGCAGCACCGTGGTGACCACCCCTGAGCGTCATTTGGGGCTGTGGTGCCTCCACAGCAGCTCAGGGTTGGGGGGTCCATCCTGGGAAGGGGCTGGTGTTGCCTTCTGTGTGGTGGCTAATGGCCCGAGGGGTTGGGCATCCTCTCTCCTCTGCACAGACCCCCCACCCCGAGCAGCTGGGCCCTCACGTCGGCTCCTCGGAGACCCTGGACCTCATCAGCTCCAAGGACCTGGCCAGCCACCTCACCGACTACGACTGGAACCTCTTCAAGAGCATCCACCAGGCAAGGCCAGCCCCCACAGCGGGGCAGGAGATGCCCCTGGGGTGGCTTTCGGGGCACCCCCTCAGCCGCCACGTTGGGCTTTGCAGGTGGAAATGATCCACTACATCGTGGGGCCGCAGAAGTTTCACGACGTGACCACGGCCAACCTGGAGCGGGTGATGCGGCGCTTCAACGAGCTGCAGTACTGGGTGGCCACGGAGCTGTGCCTCTGCCCCGAGGTGGGCAGGAGAGCCCAGCTCCTCCGCAAGTTCATCAAGCTGGCTGCACAGTGAGTGCCCTGCCACCCGTGTCCCCGTCCCTGCCAGGATGGAGCCGGTGGTGGCCTCCTTGCCTGACCCTGTCCTCACCCACAGCCTCAAGGAGCAGAAGAACCTGAATTCCTTCTTCGCGGTGATGTTTGGTGTGAGCAACACGGCCGTCAGCCGCCTGGCCAAGACCTGGGAGGTAACTGCATCCGGGCTGCTGCCAGGTCCCTGGAGGTCCCTCGAGGTCTGCGGTGATGGATCTGGGTCCCCTGGCTTGGCCAAGGGTGGCCCCGGTGCTGGGATCCAGGCAGAACCTGCACCCCCAAGCTCTGAGCAAAGGAGATGCCGAGGGCAGGGAGTGTTTCCCACTGGGAATCCCACAGGATCAGCTCCGGAGTCTGGTTGGACCTAGTTGGGGGCCAAAGTACCCCCCACCAGGGTGACAATGGGCTCCGAGCATCTCTGGGGGAGGGAGAGCTGGGGTGCCAGGAACGGTGACCCTCTCTGGGAGGTCTCCTGGGGAAGGAGAGACGGGGCGCTGACAATGGTCACCCTCTCTTCCTCTCTGGGGGTCTCTGGGGGTGGAAGAACCGGGGTGCAGTGATCATGATCCTCTCTGGGGGATGTCTCTGGTGGTGGGAGAGCTGGGGTGATGGTGACCCTGTCTAGGGGGTCTGTGGGGGTGGGAGAGCTGGGGCGTCAGAGATGGTGACCCTCTCTGGGGAGTCTCTGAAGGTGGGAGAGCCGTGGTGCCGGTGACCCTCTCTGGGGGCGAGACCCTCTATGGGGGTGGGAGAACTGGGGTGACAGTGACCCTCTCTCTGCCCAGAGGCTGCCCCACAAGATCCGAAAGCTGCACTCGGCGCTGGAGCGGATGCTGGTGAGCATGACCCCTTCCCGCCCTGTATCCCCCCTCCCAGCAGGGTTTGTCCCCGCTTCCCAAAGGGTGTGAGGTCACAGGGGTGCCATGGAGGTGCTGCTCCCCCCACTTTTCTCCCTGCACCCGGGGCAGGCAGCACCCGGGGCTGTGTTCCCTGTGCTGAGGGTCCTGCTCCATCCCCAGGACCCGTCGTGGAACCACAGGGTCTATCGTCTGGCCGTCGCCAAGCTGAGCCCCCCCATCATCCCCTTCGTGCCCCTCCTCCTCAAAGGTGGGTACCTTGGCCTGGGAGCTGCGGGTGCAGGTGGGAATGGGTCGGACTGGGGTGATGGAGACCTGATCCCCCCAATCATTCCCCCCCCCAACCCACAGACATGACCTTCATCCACGAGGGCAACCGCACGCTGGCCGAGAACCTCATCAACTTTGAGAAGATGGTGAGTGGGGCGGGTTGGCTCCCCCGTGGATCCCCACCTTGGGGGGACCTGCTTGTCCCCCCCCATCCCCTGGGATGCAGATCCAGAGCATCCCTGTGGTGCTGGCACAGTGCCCTCCCCTCTTCCTCCCCCCTGCCCCTGCCGGCAGCCAGGACCCCTGGTTGTCCCCTCGCTGGGGGGACATGGGGTGGCCACCGCTGAAGCCGGAGGGGACCGTGTCTCACCAGCTGGGGAGCAAAGTGGGGCCGGGTGACAGCAAGTGACCTTTGTGCATTGCCCACAGCACATGATGGCAAAGACGGTGCGTGTCCTGCAGCGCTGCCGGGGCCACGCACACGGTGAGTGCTGCCGGGGCTGGGGGTTGAGGAGGGGTCTGGGGGTCAGCACCCCCCTGGGGATGGGGTTGAGCTCCCTCTTTCTCTCTCTCCGCCCCCAGCTCCGCTCTCCCCACTGAGGAATCGCTCCCCGCACCGGCCGGAGGACCCCAAAGCCGTCAGGATCTCCACGTGTACGTCTGGGGCTCACCCATCCGCACCCCCACCCCTGCCCTGGGGGACCCCCTCACTCCTCAGGGCCAGCCCAGGGGAGCCTGCACCCACCGTCCTTGGGTTTGGGATCCTGTGGGGACATCCCGGGGCACCAGCCCAGCTACTGTGGGTGGAAGCTGGTCCTGATGGTGCTGATGCCTGGGAGTACCCAGGGATGGAGGCTGAGCTCTCTCTCCCGCGTGGGGTGAGCCCACAGGTCACTGGAGGCACCAGTGGGCAACTCCTGGGGCTGAAGAGGGTCAGGGGGTGCTTCCAGCACGTCAGAAGCGCTCTGGGTGTTAGGCAGCAGGATGGGGCATCGCTTTTCCCCATGGAGCAAGGCTGTCCCCACTTGCTCCTGCTCCTTCAGCTCCAGCAAGTTCCTGCGATTCTCTGGGTGTTAGGCAGCAGGATGGGGCATCACTTTTACCCAAGGAGCAAGGCTGTCCCCGCTTGCTCCTGCTCCTTCAGCTCCAACATGTTCCTGGAGGTGATGGAGGGGGATCCATGAGCAGAAGGAGAGGGGATGGAGGGAACCATGAGCAGAAGGAGAGGGGATGGAGGGATCCATGAGCAGAGGGAGAGGGGATGGAGGGATCCATGAGCAGAGGGAGAGGGGATGGAGGGATCCATGAGTCAAGGGAGAGGGGATGGAGGGATCCATGAGTCAAGGGAGAGGGGATGGAGGGATCCATGAGTCAAGGGAGAGGGGATGGAGGGATCCATGAGCAGAGGGAGAGGGGATGGAGGGATCCATGAGCAGAAGGAGAGAGGATGGAGGGGATCCATGAGCAGAGGGAGAAAGGATGGAGGGGATCCATGAGCAGAGGGAGAGAGGATGGAGGGGATCCATGAGCAGAGGGAGAGGGGATGGAGGGGATCCATGAGTCAAGGGAGAGGGGATGGAGGGATCCATGAGTCAAGGGAGAGGGGATGGAGGGATCCATGAGCAGAGGGAGAGGGGATGGAGGGATCCATGAGCAGAAGGAGAGAGGATGGAGGGGATCCATGAGCAGAGGGAGAGAGGATGGAGGGGATCCATGAGCAGAGGGAGAGGGGATGGAGGGGATCCATGAGTCAAGGGAGAGGGGATGGAGGGATCCATGAGTCAAGGGAGAGGGGATGGAGAGATCCATGAGCAGAGGGAGAGGGGATGGAGGGGATCCATGAGCAGAGGGCGAGGGGATGGAGGGGGAATTTCAATGAGTTGAGAAAGAGGCCATAGAGGGGGCCAACTGGAGGTGATGGAGAGGTTTGCTGAGCTGAGCTGGGGGTGCTGAGGGGGGATCAGTGAGCCAAGCCAGCAGGAGTGGAAGGGGATCGGTGACTCAGGCGAGAGGGGGATCCATGCGCCGAGCCAGCAGTGATGGAGAGGGTTGGCAAGTGGAGCTGGGGGCGATGGAGGGGGATCGCTGAGCCCAGCCCTGATCTCGGTTCTCCCGGGCAGGCTCGGAGCAGTCCCTGAGCGTGCGGAGCCCTGTCTCCACCTGGGCCTACCTGCAGCACCTCAAAGCCATCGACAGCCAGAAGGAGCTGCTGCGGCTCTCGCACGACCTGGAGTCCTGAGGGGGCCGTAGGGGGGAAAAGGGGATGTGGCAGCCCCTCTGCCGGCGGCGGGGACAGTCCTGGTGGCTCTGGTCCCAGTAGCACTGGGCATGGGGATGTACTGGAGCCGGCCAAGAGCAGCCTCTGGCCACCGGCACCGGGATGCTGGGATGCAGCCGGGCTGCGGCCATCGAGGGCCAGGGACAGCGGAGTGAGCAATAGAGGTATTTTTGTACACAAGGCTGCACTCCCCTTTCTTCTCCGTGCAGCAGCCTGGATTCACTCCCTGCGTGGGCCAGGGAGGATGGATGGAGCCCTGGATGCGCCCCCTGATGCTGCCTCCCCTTGGGGTGCCGGGCTGGAAGGTGCCCCGTGCTCCCAGAGGGACTTGAGCCAGAGCATCCCTACGAGCAGGCATGTCTCCATCGGGATGCAGACACCCAGGCTGAGCTTGGGGTCTGGCTCGTGCTGCTGCGCTGCCCCACAGATCCTGGGGGCAGCTCCAGAGGGGACCTGCCCTTCCCTCTGTCCTGTCTGTCCCATGGGAGGTGTTGGCTGCATCCCCTGTCCCATCTTCTGGGAGCTGCATGACCCCAGGAGCCCATGGGGAAAGTATCTTGAGCCCTCCCAGGACTGTTGGGGCTTAAACCAGCCTTGGGCTAACCACAGCCTTCTCCGTGCCTCAGTTTCCCCACATGGATGGGGGCAGGAATAGCCACCTACAGCCATGGTGCAGAGGCAGGAGAGCATCCCTGGTGGGAGGAAGCTGTGGTGGCCTCGTGATGGAGATGGTGACCTGCTCTGGCCATCCCCAACCCCTGACCAGTTGCTGTTGGGGGTTTGGGGGAGATGTCTCTGAAGGAGGCAGAGCTGATGGACCCGGGGTGTGGGGGGGACCCCTCTCCCTCCCTTCAGAGCATCTTTGTCTGCCCATGGAGCAATTTTAGCAATGACCTTCCCAACGCTCTGAGCAGGCCTGGGTGAAGCTGTGGGGTTCAGGGGAGTTTGTGGCCCCCCAAAGCTCCCACATTGTCTGGGTCCCAGCGTGGAGGAGGCTCGTAGCCCCTGGCAGGTCTGTGCCCCAGCCAGGACACCGTGGAGCCACAAGCCAAAGCCCCCCCAAGCCTTGCCCCAAGGGCTGGGCTAGAGGGGACCGGAGCTTTGCTGCGTTAATTGTTCTTTTCAGTATCACCGTGCAGATGAACGGGTTGCTTAAAATAAAAGTCCCCATCACACCTAAATGATGTTTCAGGCGATGCAGCCAGCTACGAGGGTTCCTGGCAGCTCCCAGCACCACATCCATCCCAGGACCTCTGGGTCCCCCTGCAGTGTAAAGCTTGGCTTTGTGGTTCTCTGCTCCATTGGCCATGCTTGATGAGGACTAGGTGGTGACACCAACCATCTCCCAGGTTCTTAACTCCAGCCCCATGCGTGGTCCCAGCAGAAAGTGTGTCCAGGCAAGCCAGGGCAGGGCAGAGAAGCAATGGTGATTCCTTGGACCCAAATCAGGTAGCCCTGACCTCTCACAGCCGCCTTTCCCTGGATCTTTGCCCTGAAGGACCAAAGGAGCCTTGAAATGGAAGAGCTTGTGTGTGGGGAAGAAAGCGTTAAACCAGAGTTGTACGTTTTCCAGATGTTTCTGGGCCTGCAGATTACCTTCAGTCCGCAGGTTGGCCGGGTCGATGGATGTGTCTGGGGGCTTCCTTCTCGGCTGCAGGCGGGACGTGGGCCCAGTTGGCTGGAGAAACCTCCGCTCGAGTGGAAAAGCTGACCCTTGTCTGGTTTTCCCGGAGCAGGCTGTGGAGAGCATCCTGTTGGGGAGCTCAGCACAGTCCATGCCCCTTCACGAGCCAGTGTCCTTCAAAAGCCGTGTCTTCGTGAAGGTCCAGCCCCACCAGCAATTCCCATGGAGCTGCAGAAGCCCCAGAACGTCCCGAGGGTGAGGGAAAACTTGGATAAATAGTCCAGATAGTGGAGTGATGGGACGAGGTGGAAAGTTTGACACTGAAAGAGGGGAGATTGAGCTGAGATGTGGGGAAGAACTTGTTTGCTGTGAGGGTGGTGAGAGCCTGGCCCAGGGTGCCCAGAGAAGCTGTGGCTGCCCCATCCCTGGAGGGGTTGAAGGCCAGGTTGGAGGGGGCTTGGAGCAACCTGGTCTGGTGGGAGATGTCCCTGCCCAGGGCAGGGGGTGGCACTGGGGGGGGCTTTAAGGTCCCTTCCCACCCAAACTGTTCTGTGATTCCATCATAAAAGGTCAGCAAGCCCAGGGGGGTGTGAAGAGGAGGATGGCGGGAGGGGATGGAGATGAAGCTGGGCGTTGGACAGCCTTGCGGGTAGAAAACACTGGACCATGGAAAAATAAGAGGGTGGATGTTTGCCTCCTTGAGCAAGATCATGGGTAAAACCAAGGTCTGGACGAGGGTGTAGTGCAAGGGATGAGAGATACCAGCATTGCTGGGCACAGGAGCAAGTGTGGCCACCAGGACTCCGGGGCGGCTACCAGGGGCTCAGTGTGGGCAATTCCTGTCTCCTCTCCTTGGCTCTAACACAAGAGGAACATGGAGCCAGCCCTGGGGTGCTTGACTCAGCCCTCGTGGGCGAGTGCCCGGAACAGGGTGACAGGGTTCGGTGGCAGCCAGCGACGCTGTCTGTCTGTCTGTCACCAGTGGTTGACTCTGGACCGTGGCCCAGGACACACCGACCTGCTCCTGTCCCAGGACCTACAAACCATGAGTCCGGTCCAGGAGAGGCAGGTTGTCCCCAGGGGCTTGGCGGGCTCTGGTGGCTGCAGGTCCAGCACCGCTGGAAGGTTGAGGTGGGAACAAGGTGTGTGGGACTGTGCTGGTGTGCGAGGACAGCCGGTGGAGAGTCCTCACACCCAGCCACCAGCTTCTGGAAGGTGTGGCTGAGGAACAAGGACAAACATGTTGTTTCTGTATCTTTGCTGATGGAGCTGACGCTCCCAGTTAAGCCCAAGGCAAAAGGCTTCATCCTCCCCAGTGAGGCTGGGAAAGCAACCTTCTGCAAGAAGAGACGGGCTCCACCTCCACCATCTTCCATGGGGGGCTTCCAGCTCCCTCACCGAGCTCTGAGGGACTTGCTCCAACTCCAGATGCTGCAGCTCCTGCTCTTCCAGGGCATCTCAGAGAAGCAAGATGGTTGTGTGACAGCTGTGGCCAACAGTCCAATGTCCAACCCCACCGATGGGAGCTCCTCACCCCCAACAGGGCCCGAGGCACTGCCTGGAGCTGGGGCAAGGTTGGTTTGTGCATGAACCAGTTGATGGACTCAAAGAGCAGCCCCAGCACGGGGTGACACAACGGCTGCTCTTGGGGAGGACAGGTCAGCGGGGTCACCAGCTCGGGGTGGAGGATAGGAAATGACTGAGGGGTGAGAAAGAAGCCAAACCTGGTCCTTATTACACCAAACACGGCTCCCCCGTGCCAGCTAACGCAGCCGGGGGGGAATAAGGCTGTCGCAATGCTGCTGTGTTGGCAGGAGGAGGTGCAGGCAGCTGCCTGCTCTGCTGATGGGCGTTAGAAACTGCCCCCCCTTGGCCCAGGGGGAATTTGGAGGTGAGTCCTCACCTGCCAAGGTGGAGATGGACAAGGAGTGAACCCCTCCTTGGTGGGGACACCCTGCCCTAGACATGCTGATTCTGGTGTTGAAAGCACTGGGAGCGTGACCATCTGGTAGCCACCATGGCAAGCTGCCCAGGAGAGCCTGGGGCTGTTTACAGAAGCTCCAGGAGCCTCCGGGTGGGGAGTCTTCCCGACATCGCATCAAGCAAGCACCTGGTCAAACCAGAGGGACATGGGACACAGGGAACCAGCCAGGATTGGGCCATCCCTGGGTCTGTGGCAGTGCACAGGCAAGGAGGCAGAGAAGCGGCTGGTGGAAATCATTTGGGCAAGGCTTGTGACGAGGCTTCCTGAGAAACCACCTCACCCTGTGAGGAGAAGCCAGAAACCAGGCGGTGCCTGTGATGGATCCTCGGGTGCAGCACCAGTGTCCGCTGCTGGTCTCTTTGTTATTTCCCCCAAAAGCCAAGGAAGGGTGATGCTTGGGGACAATACCCTGCTCCCGGGTGGATGAGCTGAGGTTAGCCCATGCTGGCCCTTGAGGGACCGTGGCTGGGAAGAGACAGGGTGATGTGAGGAAGAGCTGAACTTGCCCAACATCTTCCGTCAGCAAAACGAGTTGAGGAGGTTCCTTCCTGCTCATCCCAGGGCTCTGCTCTCCAAACCAGAACAGGAAAACGGCAGTTTTTAAACCAGGCTCCAGGAGGATGGGGGGGGTTGGATCTGGGTTATTTTGCTGACGTGGTGTTGAGCTGAGCTGGGTAGTGGAGGGATGAGGATGGAGATCGGCTCAGGGACGGTTGAGGTGCCCCTTTGAGGACAGGGAGGTTGAGCCATGTTTCAGAAGCAGCGCGAAGATGCCCTTGGAGGCAGGATGAGTGCTGACCTATTCCAGCCCGGTCACTCCCATGTGTCTGGGTGTACTGGTCAGCATGTACAACATGCTCCAGGACCAGGAAAAAGTGGGATCCGAGTCCCCCCCAGGCTGTGGTAGAATGGAAAGCTGTCTCCAGCTGGATACACCAAAACACCCACCGTCTGGGAACATCTTCCACTGGGATACACTGAATTGAGCAGGGCTGGCCCTGCTGTGGGCAGGGAAGAGGCTGGTGACCACACCAAGCATGGACTGTGTTCCCCCTCGGCGTTGCCCAGGGCTGTGGAGGCTCCCTGAGAAGGGCAGCTCCACACAGGGTGGGGATGGACCAGCTCTGGGCTCGCCCCAGGAGCGAGACCACACTGGGGTGGCCCACAAAACCTGCTTCCTGAGCAGCTTCAACGACAAAGCCTGGCTTGTGGTTATGTCACGGGGTTTCCTTGTGCTGCTGGAGGACCTGGGGAGCACAGTTTCCTGAGACAGAGGCTGAGGAAGGAGAGATCGTTATCCCCAATTAACTGGGGAGCAGAAAGTTGTCCCCAGTTAGCACCAGTTGTACGGGAGCGTGTGGCCCACCGAGGGACGAGGCTGTGGCACTGGCCACCAGGTTGCATCTCTAATAGACCCGCTGGGCTCTGGGTTGGCAAAGACCTCCCCGTGCTCCTCAACCCCCCCCGGGGGGTCAGGCACACATGGAGTGGAGCAATACTGGGATACTGGATTTACCAGCCCTGCTCCCAGTCCAGGCAGCCTATAATTAAGTCATGCACATAATGAGTTTTGGCAAAGTTTGGGTGCAGCTTGCCCGTAAAGTCCTCGGTGGCATCATGCTCCTCCTTCCCCCCCCACC